GTGTTGTCCCCATTCAGCCACAAAAATGACACCCATGCCCCTTATTTAAAGCATCACCTTCTTCCCAAATGAGACACCTCATCGTCAACCTTTTTATGATTTTTTGTTTTGATGTTCAAATAATTAATATTGAGGGGTAAACCGGTCATTTATGTTATTCAGACTGTTGGTTCAGATAAAAAAAGTAAACAACAACACTCATTTATCCATACAGACAAATTTATCCATACAAAACTTAATAAAAAAATTTGGTAAACAACCCCTTAGTATTAGATCTTAGACCTAGAGATAGATAAATTCGAAAATACGACTTGAATGTTGCAAAAAGATTTGAGAGAGTTTTTATAACCACGTAGAGATACGGGTTTTTGTATGATTTTAACCAAAGTTCAAATGTTAGTCGATTTTGGTGTCACAAAGAGATTTGAGCATTTATTTTCATGTTGGTATAGCTACGATAGTTAGAAGTCGACTTAGTTAAATCGGCAAGTCTCGAGTTGACAAAAGTGGCGACTTTGTGGAGAAAGGATGCCACTTTCTGTTTTAGTTCACTTTCGAGAGAAAGAGATTCTTATAAATGTTTTGTGGAGCTTATTTTTGACCATGAGGTTACTACAAATGTCTTAGATAATGCTTAAACCAATATACTTGTCTCGTTTTAATCATTAAATTAGCATAACGACAAATCTCAACAAATATTGATTATTTTCTCAAAACCTGTAACTTGCACTAGAAGTTCATAAAGATCTATAATTCTTAGTTGTCCAGTCTTGTGGAAAAGATTTCAGTAATTTACCATTTTATTACTTATAGCATCATAGTGTCCGATGTACACTTACACATGCACTATAGCACCACAAGTGGCCACTTTGTGGACCTGTACGATTTCCACTATTAAGTATTTTACCTCCAATAGTCGATAAAGCGAAATCCCGGATAGGAACTTTGAACAACGATTTCTTCTTCAAAACCTAACAAAATAACGATTGGTTTGAACCTAAATGATCCCTAGTCGATGTTATTCAGCTGTATGGAGAAAGATTTGGCATACTAACAGCTGCCATCGAAAGGCCTCCATCAAAATCAGATTTGAAATAGTTATGTTATTTTGGTAGAACAGGTCCTCCAAGTTTATGAAATATAACATTCGCCACCTTAGACTTTCTGACATTCGGCCCCTTGCTCTCATTTATTAAGTTCACTTTAATTAAATGGTAGATCTGTCTCCTATAAACACCCCTTTTCACAATTTTGGTCCAGTAAAATAAAAATCATTTAGTTTATTTTCATTCTCCGTTTTCTTTTTGTGTTTATTTAGTTACCTCATTTTGGGGTGTCACAAAGTGGAATTAAAAAGCCCAAACGAAGAGTTTTGTTTGAAACCTGGAGGAAAAGTGGATGGGGGAGCCAAAGATGATGACTGACAGTGGGGGAGGGGGCAGTTCGTCGGAGATGGTGACTAGCGGTAGGGGACTGGTTGGTTCGCTGGTACATTGTGTGTTCGGGAGAAGAGGTTTTGATTGGTGCCTACATATTAATTAGATTTTTTTTTAGAAAATGACATAAAAAATGTAAAGAGACTCATTCCGATGATGGTTATTACATCTGATCAATCGAAAAAAAATAATTGTCTTTGATTAAATTTAATCCAATAAATCTGACTACATTATTTAATCTGTGAATAATTCAGAAGATTTTATAATTAGATCAGATGCTCGAAAAAAATTTGCAAGAACTTTTTTAACAACTAATGATCTTTTTTCTGACACTTAATCTTTTAGCAGGTAATGACAACCAATCATTGATTTTAACCTATATTAGTCCAAAAATAAGAATTGTGTATGACCTGATCCCTACAATCAAAAAGGAGTTATTTCTTTGGTACTCATATTTTTGATGGGTTCTTTTGGATTAGCAACAATTTTAGGATTCCTTTCGATTTTGTGACAGTCTTTTGCAAAATGAAAAGGTTTTCCACAGTTATATCACTTTTTAGAAGTGGACGATCCTGAAATCTCTTTTGAAAATTCTGAAACAGTGTAGAAAGGTTTGAACCGAAAATGCCTTTTTCATTTGTCTTTTTGAGAATAAAGGACTTTTCAACGTTCTTGTCTCTTTTGGATAAATATTTTGGAGTGGAATGATTTGTGGACTCAACATATTCTCACTCATTATCTCCCGGCACGTAGTCAGCCCATTTGCGATGAGAGACATGAACCGTTCCAAACTTTTATCTTCCTTTTTAGAATTTTCAGAGGAGTCACATGAATCATGCTTTGAAAAGGAAGATCTTCCAAAGGGACCGTTTACCAAACGCTTACCCAGATAAACGCTTATCAAGTCACATTACCTTACCGGATAAATATGGTAAGTACCAAGAATCTTACCAGGTAAGAGGGAGACAAGAACCAAAAGTCTTACCCGGTAAGTGAGGACGACGACTCTTATCATAGTAAGCACTTACTCTGTAAATTGTAGCATACGATGCCGTTTTGATGGAATAAAGTTTTACCCGGTAAGTAAGCGGTAGTTAAATTTTACCGATAAACGCTTACCGGATAAGTGTTTGGTAAACAGCCCCTAAGTAGGTGAAATTATTCGACAACTTGTTTGAGGGTTTTGAAAATGAAGAAAAACCAAGGCCATGATCATAATTTTTGGAATTTGATAGTCTAAAACTTTTATGTGATCTATAGAAACTTGATTCCATTTCTTTTATGGTTGCTTTTTTCTTTTGCAAGCTCTTTTATCAAACGATGTTTCTCATTATTGAGATGTTTGCAAATAAGTTTTTGATCTTCCAACTCATTTTCAACTTCGTTAAACTTTTTAATTTGTTCAAAGCACTCAGACAATTTAGCAGTCAAGTCATCTACTTTGTTTTCTGCTTTTACTTTAGAATCAATAGTGTCACGCCCTGATTTTTTTTTTCCACTTTCGAATGTCGTGACGTCATTCTTAATAATTTATGCCATGAACAAAATACGAACTTAAAAATTTCAAACATACATAATGTGTTTAACATAATTCATTACATAATTGCGGAAGCACAAAATACTTTAACGTAATAGTATGATTCAAAACATAGTCTCGTATTTCTTCATTCAACTCGTCTAGTGACAATTGACACATGAGATATATGCATGTATAGTATAAGCAAAAAGTTTAGTGAATACAATATGGTTTCATGTTCACGTGCACATATAAGAAGTGTTTTAATGTATTTTAGTTATTATCTTGCAAGTGAGGCCTCGACTTGTCACTTTTATTTGCGTATGTGGCGTATTCTATGGAGAAGGACTCCAAGATCTCGGAATTGCAAGCCCTCCTTTCATGTCCAACCCAACTCGTACGGTGGACGAATTTGCTGTTTGCAATACTCACTCATTAATGCAAATCTCATCGTGACATACAACATACATCTCGTGCAAGTGACAACATAAATCACATATGTATCATCATCATCTTTCACATTATACACATACATGAATATCATATTAATAATATCAAGTCATCATAATCTCTCATTAACATCATCTTTCATATCATGTATATACTTGAATATCATGTACATCAATACAATCAAGTTATCATCATTGCCACAACACAACCAGAAACATAACTAGGTGCACAGTTATAAACAAATCAAACACAACGAGATTGAATAGAATAAGATACACAAACAAATTAAGTTCATATTATCGAATCATTGTACAAAATGAGATTGTTTCATATATCACAAACTAAATCAAACCCTAAACTAAAATAAAAAAACCTAAATTATGAATAATGAACCGTAAACTAAGTCAAAACCTTTACTTATCAAATGACATTCTCTTACAACAGCCAAAAATGCACAAACCAAGAGCGGATGCAACTCGATTTTGTTTGAAACACCTGGATTTTTGGTATGTTTACTTTCGGGTTTTATATAAATATCAAGAGAACAACGATGGACGGGTAGGTGTTAAGCGTCCTGTAGTAAGAGGAATAGTTATGAACCCCGTGAACCATCCATAAAGTGACTCTTACTTCAAGTCTTGGATCTCCCATCCGCTGCAGGGTAAACCACCACCTCTCAGGTCCCTGACTTCTTTTTTATCAATCAAAACTCCTTCACAAACTGGTCATGTCCGATTTAGAAAAAGGAAGAGAAGCGTGTGAGAGTTTAGAGCATCAATGTTTCTAAGAGACTTTTTCTTTCCCTTAAAATGCCACATAAATTGACAATTTTACCCTCATATGCAATATATCTTCCCGGGGGGAGTTAAACAGGAAGAAGGCAAACCATGTTAGTTGAAGGACCAATACTAAGACCAAGAAAACCCAAGGACCACAAGATTAAACTCTGGATTTTACTCTTATATTTGATATTTTAACACTTTTAAATACGATTTAGAATTCTTTCACTATTTTAACTGTGTTACTTTTATGATATAACGGTGATGTATTGAGTCTATCTTTTCTTTATTATGTCCCCTTCAAATCATTGGTTATCAATGTATTCAAACAAACGCTTCCATACGGTCGACACTTAATCGGCGTAATAAACGAAATTAAGAAAAGGTTAAAATCATAATAAAATCCATTTATTTTATATAAAAGAACATGAAAACTCATAATCATTATATTCAAAATCGAAAAGCATATCCAAGATTACATGACATTGTTTTATTGGATAACATGATTTGAACCTTATTTATATCAAATTATACAGGATCAAAATGAAATTAAGAGGGGTTTGAATTAGATTCACTCAATTCTGATTGAAGAGAACGGATGGATCTTGATTCTTGAAGAGGGGTTGATGATAATGATGTGTTTGGATGATAAAAAAACATGAATCTTGGTAGGTATTGATTCATTTTAGGAGATGATAAGAAAAGATCAAACATGCGGTGTGTTGTCATTTACGAAAACTGACATGCGACCCACCTACACAACTCTCTCATATCATATCATATCTTCCATGGAAACCAAAATATCCATTACCCCCTTTTCCTTCCCTTCAATCTCCATTTTCCATTCTACAACTTGCGAGCTATGACACCCTTAACCACATAATCAATCATCCTTTGATTGCCTCACACTCTTACCCTGCCTTCACTCAACACCCCACGTTGATTCTCGCCATTTCTGTGCTTCACGACGTCGTCAATTTCATGTTCTTCCCCCAATTCGTTTACTAGATCCAATTTCACGAAAAGGGTATGAATCTTTTTGTCTTCTGAGTTGGTATTTTTTCTAGTTTATCCTTCGAATTGTTCTTGGTCGATGGCTTCTATAAATGGGCTTGCTTCTTTTATGAATTGCGTTTCCGTTAATAGAAACCCTAATCGCATAATTTCCCAACTCTATGGAAGCTTTTCTGTTAATTCCTGTTATAGGGTTTCGATTACAAACAAAACCCCCATGTATGGTGTTGGGAAGCTACGTGAATTTCGGTTTTTTAAGGCTGTGGAGTTGGATAAGGTTATAACTAGTGACGATGAAGATGAAATGAGTGAGGGGTTTTTCGAAGCGATTGAGGAATTGGAGAGGATGACAAGAGAACCTTCTGATGTTCTAGAAGCAATGAATTCTAAGTTATCTGCTAGAGAATTACAGCTTGTTTTGGTCTACTTTTCTCAAGAAGGTAGAGATTCTTGGTGTGCTTTAGAAGTGTTTGAATGGCTAAAGAAAGAGAATAAGGTGGATGAGGAGACTATGGAGCTTATGGTTTCTTTGATGTGTGGATGGGTTAAGAAACTGATAGAAGGGAAGCATGAAACTGAGGATGTGATCGATCTTCTTGTAGATATGGAGTGTGTCGGTTTGAAACCGAATTTTAGTATGATTGAGAAGGTGATATCGTTGTATTGGGAGATGGGTGAGAAGGAAAAAGGGGTTTTGTTTGTGAAGGAGGTTTTAAAGAGGGGAATCGGGTATGAGGATGGCGACAATCAATCGCGTAAAGGAGGTCCTACGGGTTATCTTGCTTGGAAGATGATGGTAAGTTACGATCTCCGTTTTCTTGATGTTTTGATCATTTATATTCATTTGTGAATAAACATACATTATAGACTCATAGTTCAAAAGGGGGAAGTTCAAATGCATGTGCACAACGTATATTCATCAATGTATGTGTGCTATATATGCAAGGAAAGTTCAATTGCAAACCTTTTTCCTTTGTGAACCAGAGGACAAAGGAGATCGCAGCATGTGTCCCTGGTTGTCCACATTCATCATGAATAATGAATGTGAATTATACATGATGAATGGTGCATTAATACACCATTCATGATGAATAACCCGTGAATGCAAGGGACACGTGGCGCTCTCTCCTTTATCCCCATTCATGTGTCCATGTTGTTGGCTCGTTCCTAAGATTATTATTATTATATTACTGAATTTTACGTAGTAATATGTGCAGTAGAAAAGATGGTTCGGTTTTCATTAAAAAACCCGACAAGAAATCTGTTGGCTTTACTGTATAACTGTAGGAACCATTTTATACTACATGCACTACAACAAAAGTGGCTTTATAGGATGCCAAATATGTCTAAATGTCCCAATAGACTATCGTGCAAGACTTAAGTTTATAGGACCAAACAATTGTCCGTCCTATGTAAAAGTGTTACAGTAAGTTGAAGTGTCCTAACAAGTTACTTAAGACGTTTTGAAATAAAATGTCCTATTAGTTTTTTTTTTGCAGGACTTCAGAAAAGTATCCTATGAACACATCTTTTTATAGGAGTATAGGCCTATTGTTTTTATAAGACCCCTTTTCACATAATGTCATAAAAAATTTAATAAGACAATTTATTTCAAGCGTCCTAAAAACTTGTTAGGACGTCCAAAAGCATCTTATCAACTTATTGTAACACCTTTACATAGGACATACAATTGTTTGGTCCTATAGACTTTAAGTCCTATAAACGAGTCTATTAGGACATCAGATATATTTGATGTCCTATATGGCCGATTTTGTTGTAGTGACGCTGGATCGTGAAGTTGTAGTTTGGTTACGGTCTAAATCAACCTCCATATCCGACAACTTTTGCTTGTTTTGTCCTTGTTGGATGCCTAATTGCCATTGATTTTTGCTATCTTTATAATCAGGAGGATGGGAATTACAAAGATGCAATTAAACTAGTGATCGACATTAAAGAATCCGGTTTGCAGCCAGAGGTATACAGCTATCTGATTGCCATGACTGCTGTCGTCAAAGAACTGAACGAATTCGGAAAAGCTTTACGCAAATTAAAAGGCTTCACCAAATCTGGTCTGGCTTCTGATATAGATACCGAAGACACGCGCCTTATTCAAGATTACCAATCAAATCTTTTGGCCGACGGCATACGCTTCTCCAATTGGGTAATCGAAGAAGGCGGGCCCTCATTTCACGGGGTGGTTTACGAACGGCTGCTAGCCATGTACATCTGTGCTGGCCGTGGACTCGAGGCCGAAGGCCAATTGTGGAAAATGAAACTAGTGGGAAAAGAACCAGACGGAAACCTTTATGATATCGTGTTAGCCATTTGCGCTTCCCAGAAGGAGGTAAACGCGATCTCGAGATTGCTTACAAGAATGGAGGTCACTAGTTTATTGAACAAAAAGAAAACATTGACATGGTTATTAAGGGGTTACATTAAAGGTTGTCACTTTGAGGATGCTGCTGAAACTGTAAATAAGATGCTTGATTTGGGTTTGTTTCCCGAGTTTCTGGATCGGGCTGCGGTTTTGCAGGGATTAAGGAAAAGAATGAACGAAATGGGAAACGTGGAAACTTATTTCAAGCTTTGCAAGCGGCTATCGGATGCAGGTTTGACCGGACCTTGTCTTATATATATGTATATAAAGAAATATAAGCTTTGGGTGATCAAAATGCTTTAAATCAGTCGAATTAGAAGATATTGTGTTATAGGGATCGTTATCTGTATATGTGTAATATGTATAGAGCTAATAATTCGAGTGAGGTGTAGTAATGATGATATTACATGTTGTAATTCCGATCTTCAAGATTCAAAGTGCATTTTTGTATCTTTGTTCGAGTTGTCACGATTTGGATCCATGATCTCGAAATGCATCATTGACCATATGCTTATCTTTCTTCCTGCTATCTGTTTGCTCATACTCTTGCACAAGTTGGGTTTTTTTTATGGAAACAGTTGTTCTACTCTTTGGGGCCAGAAGTAAGGTCTGCATACATCTCACTCTCCCAAATTCTGGGTCTGGTTGGTTTGATTTGATCTTGAAATGCATCAACTTGAACTTTACTGAGTGAGTTGGATCAAGAAAGTTGAAATACATCAATTTGAACTCTTTTGGGATGAGATGTCAATACCCATCAGAGGTTTAGAGCCAGCAAAAGGGTAAAAGGGTCATTTCAGGTTTTTTTTCATTTTGGATCAAGAATCTTGAACTGGACATTTTTGAAGGGCAAAAGGTTGATTGCATTTTGCCATCTTTTTTTAGGTCAATATGAACTCTTTTGGGATAAGTTGTGAATACTCATTAGAAGTTTAGGGCTGTTTGTTTATCTTTTAATGATGCCATTAAGGGGTAAAGGTCTGAATCGGTTAGACATTTTATTGTTTGGGTAGATTATGAAAAATGTTTGAATCACTTATTGGACCCTGAATCGGTCCTTCACCTCTCGCTTCCCGTACGATTCATATTGCCGACATTCCCTGGCTTTGCCCTCGCCTCTTCGTCTCTCTTGACTCCCCCAACCGACTCTACTCTCTCATTCATCTCTCGATTCTCCATCTGTTGGCTACAACCGGTGCCTCTTCTCCATCTCTCGACTTTGGAGTCGAGAATACAACTGGTGCCTCTTCTCCATCTCTCGACTTTGGAACGCACCGGCGCATAATCTATTGGACGCACTATCTGTTGGCTACAACTGGCGACGCCCCTGCGCAACAGGTAAGAAAGAATCTCCACTTTGCTACCTCCAATCTCTTTGATTATTTTGGTTTCACCTTCTGATAAGTGGGTGTTTGCAATAAATGAAATACAAACCTCTGATCTCGTTTGCTAAAACGAATAATACAAGTAGCTTGTCTTAAATAAAATAAAGACCAAACTTCATCATTGAACCGAGAGGAAACATCTAATCCAACATAATTGCATAAATGTCACCATAGGTTTTGAAAACAGATCAATAATATTAAAAACAAAGAGATTGCCCCAAAATGTTGAGTTCCTAGAGTGGTAGACATTGGCTCTCATAAGATGTAGAATATGTGGAGCCTCTTTAGAACTTTTCAAAAGACCCCTAAGCAATATATTGAGAAAAATAGGTTCTAGCCTAGCTAAGTCGACTCCAATAGGAGAAAATAGTGAAAGTGAGTGGAATAACACAAATGGAGTTCTCTTGATCAGTAATGGTTGTAACTCATGTTTCCGAACCCAAAGGGGGTTTGCAATTCAATATCACAGTCGCAAATAGCTTTACTTTTAAGTCACCATGAACTTTAGAACTTAATCATTCACATTCTTGCGAAGAAAAGACCATCCTTTTTCTCCACAAAAACTATCAAAGAACACATCAAAATGAAGCAAAATCATACAATCAAACACAATTATTCAAATGCAAGAAAATATTGTTTTTTAAACATAATATCAGTAAAAGAAAGTATAATTTAAATTTATCCGACTTTAAACAACTAACTTGTAACTGACTCATAGTAGCAGGAGGATTGAGACCCATATCAACCAAAGATGGAATCGCACCAGCCTCAACATATCCACTATTGGGATGCAATATTTTAATGTCGAGAACATAATTGGATACATGTGAAAAATTTATCAATTGCGTTATGAAGTAATTTATGTCTACAAAATAAATTAAACCAAAAATATCAATTATTTAAGATGATAGGGTATTACCTACTGCTTGAAAGCATGGCAAGTAGCTGCAAGATTTCTAGACTCCAAGGGTACTTTGATGACAAGTATCGCACTCTGTTTGTGCAACTGTACTATGCTAAAATCACGAGTTTGTAAATTGCAAGAGAACATGGAATTGTGATTAACATATATACTACCCTACCCACAAAAAATGACCTGTTATTGCAGGGATTCAATAAATCTCCCTGCTATATCTTTAAAGAATCCAAACAAATTCACATGTGACTTTATATGTATATAAAGTTTTGCGTTGAATGATAGGGTTCTACTTTAAAGTGAAAATGCAATCAAGTACCCTCAAAACTTTTTAACATTTTTGTTATTGGTAATTTGATAATGGTATAGATTATAGCAAGCATTAGCCTCATTGATAGCTTCTACTTTTGATAGGGAATTATAAGAGATTTGTTCTATGTAGTCATTTGTTAAAATTTCAATCTTGATTTGCTAAATGTCGTTATTTGTAAGGTATGGACATTGTTGGTTAGGGTTCACAACCAAAAAGACGTAGAATAAACTAGAAAAAAGAGTGTGGTGCAAACGTTTCTTGAAGCATGTATACATGAGGTCATTATACATAGATCGGAAGGCACCATTCTTAAGCCGCGTTCATGGAAGAATGTTGCGGAGACGCTTAAAGACAAACATAACTTCGTCGCAAATAAAAAACAAATGAAAAACCATTATGATTATTTGAAAGCAAAATACAATGCCTAGATGAGACTGAAAGACAAAACGGGCAACGTGTATGACCCTTACAACCAACACGTTTTATCGAAGTGATGAAGAATGGCAGATAGAAATTGAGGTATTTTTGTAATTTTATATCATTTTGCATTTAGGTATCTTCGTAATTTTATTTATATAATCTTTTTTAAAACAGACAAGCAAATATGTAGAACCAATCAGGTGTATATGACTGCTTTTTTCTGATCTTTGTGTTCAACTATTTGATGGAGTTCAAGTAATAGGAACTGAAAGTCATGGGCCATGTTCTAGTATTTCCAACATTTCCGACCCATTTTTTGATCACCCAACGTTGAGGTAGTTCCTAATAGTCGACAAATCGCGACCTAGACTTTAAGACAAGAGTGTGATTCTTGTCCAAGTACACAAAGCAAAAAGCAAAAAGGTAAACAAGCAAGTAACTCACAAGTTGAAGAAGATAATTTTTAAGGCCGTGAAAGCAATTATGGAAAAGTATTCAAATGATGTGACTGCTTGCTTGGCGAAGTTAGATGGACTTGGATGGGAACAGATAACCCGCTGTATCACGTAGCTACTTTTATCTTTAATGAGAGTGTCGACTACAGGAAAGTATGGTTGTGTTTACAATCGAAAGGTTGTGCAGGTTGGGTTAGAATGATAGGACAAAAATACAGAATTGTGTAGTTGGAGCATGTTAGGCTTTTGAAGATTGTGTTTTGATATGATGCTAGCTTTTGAAGGATGTTTTGCTTTCGAACACATAACTTTTGGATGATGCAACTTCTGAATGATGTTAACTTTTGAATGAAGATGTTTCTTTGATATTATGTTAACTTTTCATCCACATTTGTTAATTTTCTTTATTTGCAAGGTGCTCTATAGATGTTGAGGTAGAATTGTTGCTTTTGTTACTTTTTTGGTTAAATTTGAAACAAAAAGCTACATCAAGAATCGAAAGAATAAGAGATAACATCTCATCGTTGACCGGACATGTGTATCCTCTAGAACTATTAAATGGCTCAAATACGCAATGTCTTGAGTTGGAGAGTCTTTCTCGTGATGCTTATATACTATTATGCAACCATTTTAAACAAAAGAATTGGTTGCAAAATAGTAATAATGTAAGTGTTGAGGAGAAGATGACAATTTTTTTTTTTGACAATTATAGGTCATAATGAACGCTATAAAATGATTAAAAGAAGATTCCAACACTCAACGTAGACTATCCATAGATATTTTCGTCAAGTACTACGAGCAATGATGAAATTTGCTAGAGAAGTTGTGGCACCAATGCCTAATGATAAAATCTCCAACATATCAGAACAACAAAGAAATCTTAGAATAATATATTTCTGGTATGTTAAAGAAATCTTAGAATAATATTTCTGGTATGTTTTCGTGTATATAACTTGCAAAATCAAAACGTAGTTAAAAAGCTCCTTATAGTTTATATATATATTTTTAATAAAGGTAATAGGTGCATTAGATGGGATTCTCATACATGCAGTTGTGTCTGTCCATCAACAAGCTCATTATAGGGGTAGAGGAAGAGGTAAATGTTATCAAAACGTTTTAGCGATTTGTGATTTTAATACGGTATTCACTTATGTTTGGGCCAAAACTTGAACAAACAATCGTTATGCTTGTTTGGATTGATATGATATCATGCATTGGCTTGGACCGTTAATTATTTTCTATTATTTCATTTAGAAATTTCCATCAGAACTTTTATCAGACGTTAATTTTCATTAAACACAAGATCGGGGATAAAATGATAATTTTATGTCATTCAGACTGTTGATTCAGAACATTTCTCAAACAACCGTTTTCTATCTAACACTAAATCATATAGAGTCTCTTAAACTTAATTATTTTGCACTCAATCATCTAGTATTTACCAAACAACCCTTTAAAGCGATCAAGATCTGGTGAAACTCAAAAGTCAATGGTGTCTTTGTCCAAGTTGTTCCACTTTTGCTCAAGAATCCTGAACTGCACATTTGAAGGGCAAAAGAGCCATTTCAGGTTGGGAATGGTATCTTTGTTCAAAGTTCTTCCACTTCGAATCAAGAATCTTGAACTGGCCATTTGAAGGGCAAAAGGGTCATTTCAGGTTGGGAATGGTATATTTGTTTCAAAAGTTCTTCCAATTTGGGATCAAGAATCTTGAACTGGACATGTGAGAAGGGCAAAAGGGTCATTTCAGAGTGGACTTTTGAGCTGGAAATATGCATGCTTGATTGCATTTTGCCATCTTTTATTTAAATTTAAATACAAATTTGCAGACAATTGTTGCATGTGATGACTCATTCTTGCCCTTTTGTTGCAAATGTGTGTGATCATTGACTTGTGTTGGAGATGGTTGTTTTTGTGATGAAATAATGCTAAGTTTTGCTACTTGACAAAGGTGCCTCATAAGGGTGAGTAGGCAAATCTTATCATCTAAACCCACATGTATTTGTTGACAACAACAGGTTATTGATCAAAATGGGCCAA